GATACATACATAGCATACACACAAAGGTATATAGATTTGTGTAGTACCTTCAAATCTAGATGTCATTTGAATTACCTGACAGCCAAGATCTTTTGGAGCACAGCTATTGATTTCCAGGAGATTTGACCAGGACATAAGGAACAGAGATTTCTTGGACTCCAGCAGTAGGAAGAGAACAATAGGATGGGAAATTAATAGGTGATTTACTATAAAAGAAATTACAGCCGACTGCTTCACTGTGCCCCTGAAGGGGCTGAGGGGAGAAATTTGCTGCTCCTGACAAGTTTTGAGAGCCTTTCGTCTTCCGTGGATAGGTGGAAATTTGCAATGTGCAAAAGGAAAGGATGAAGCCAATAGGATCTCTAAAGGGCATTTCTGTTTCATAACCATGACTCAGTTTTTCATCTAGGGCAAAAGTGGCAAATCATGAAGTTTTCCTTAAGCTGTTGGCAGGATCCTCCACCACTGCTAAACTGATGCACTTTCAATAAAACTTCTGCGTTTTCTGTTCTGTAGTCTTCATGGTAACCAGTAATTCACTGCAGCAATGATGATTCCATACCATTAAATATATAAAAATACATACAAGACTTTCACGATACTGAGCTTGTGACTACTTCAAAGAAAAGGCTTCAACCTTTTAATGCTGAAAAGATAACCAAAGTTCAGGTCTTTATGGTAGTTAGATGTCATCTGTTTGAATAAGCCTGGAGTTACATCTCATTTAAGATTATATGGACAAACAGAGTGGAAGCAATCTGCTTGAACATTTCTTGGCTGAATGCTTTAAAAAGCATCTTTTGACACTAATTTGTTGAATGGATGATTGTGAGCAACATAAAAACAAATTAAAAGTTTTACGTGTTTGGACTAGATCCTCAGCTAGTAAAAAGAGAGAGAGGTCCATTAAATTCAGCATGGCTTTGCTTGTTTGTGTCTGGAGATCTAGCTCTCTGCTTAGTGACTACCCACACATATGGTCATACAGTTCTAGTCTGCATACAACTTATTCTGGGTACTGAGCACCCTTTAGCCCTGCACTGCCAAAAGCAGTAGGAGCATTTGTCAGCTCCAGAAGTTACAGAATTAGACCTTATGTGGTTAATTATTCAGGAAAACCACCAGATGCCCCTTTTCCACATCTAATTCTGTGCATTCAGTAGAAGTACACGCCTTTTATACAAGTTATTTTCATCTTTAACACGAACCAACGAGTATCATATGTTCATTTCTACTCCTTACACAGTGCAATCTCTATCTTCAAAATTAAGTCCAGCCACTGTAAAGCCAAATGCTCACAGGTAAACCCTTTGGAGTTTGGTCTGGCACTTCTGCTTTGCTATGAATTTCTTAGCCTCCCAGTTTTCTGCTGAATGCTCTTCTCACTTTCACTAAACACACGCATCATCCACTGGCCAGCATGAACTGCAGCTTTCCTTTCAACCCCTGCTCTTGCCCTGTTGTGCCCCACCAGTCCTCCTGCACCTTATCACTATCCTCAGCAACTGATATGAAAATACAGGTTATTAACATTTTTACTCAATTTCCCTTTCTTGAACGCTACAGGAAACCAGCAATAATGCAAACATCTGACATCAGAGACATCCACAGCTGGACAGAAGGACAGATCACACCCCCACTCACCTCCCAGCGCAAGGAGCTCATCTGTTCAGCATACACTCAGAGTGCCAGAAGGTACTGAGATGAGAATAATTCAGAAAGCAAGAATTTTGAGGCAATACTGCATCTTTACTGCAAGAACTGTATGGAGGCACAGTTGTGTGGATGTACAGAGTAAGTAATTAGCAAGTATTTAGATAGAAAATGTGAGAAGGCTGGACAGTGTGGAAAAGCCTGCCTGCTCTAACTTGCTCCCCAACTTGAATTTATAAGAGCAAGAAAATGGTATTCAAATCCTGTGCTTATTAACCACATGCTGGGTTTTGTTTTTCTCTTTAAAGAAGGCATCACAAAATCCTGTATCTCATGTCATGTTCTTTTTTCCATTATAGGAATATAATGCAGATGCAAACTGCACCGGGTTGTGTCTGAGAGCAAAATTTCAACTCGATGGGATTAAATGGGAAGTACAAAAATATTGTTGCAGCTTCTAATCAGCAACCAGAACGAGTTTCTTCAGTTCACAGAGCATTTTTAGTTTCAAAGGATAATAACCAAACACCAGCTCGACATCCCAGGAACAAAACAGATCTGCCAGCTCTGCCGCTTTAATTCAGAATGAAATCAGTCTTCATACATCACAGAGGAAGGTGTTTGCCAGCTGCAGCCAGGGAGGCATCTCCCCTCCATATCACAGCAATTAAAAGTTCATCTAATTATATTTGATCCTGTGCCAACAGAAGCCAGATGAAGCCATTCATCGATTGTAATGGGCTTTGGAGCTGCCTCAAAATTTCTCCAGCATATGCAGTCCTGACTCTGGAAACCAAAAGCATCCCAGTTTAAATAGGCTTATCCACAGCTGAAAAAAAGAAGTGTTTTCACATCTTTCTTCCATCTAATAAATACAACCCTATAGTCCAGGCAGAACTGACCATCAAATGCCTATTAAATGGACTATTTGTTGAAAGAAATAAGTACAGTCAGTGTTTACCCACAGACCATTTGACAGCAACCAAGGCTTTGTTTCCTTTGAAAGAAGGAAACTCCTTCAATCTAAAGAAATCAAGCCTTTAGCCCAAAAGGAAAAACATCTGAGAAGTGTAAGCCAGGCCTGCCCCCCACTTCAGCAAAAACGTTTAAAAGTGCCCTTGCACAATTCCACAATCACTACATAAAAGCAATAATAAATGTAATAAATAGAATATGCTTGCTACAGCTCTTATTTGAGGTGACTTCTGTTTGATATTCTTGAGTTTCATTTTTTCAGCTTTCAACCACAAAGCCAAATATTCCCCCAGGCATGGGGGACGACATTTACAACATCCACCTTCTCCAAGAAGAAACATTCAAACCTCTTGTGATCTTCTTTAGTTTCCTCAAGTGAAAAGAATTCACAACAAGTAATTCAACAATTACTACTCTAAAGAAAAAAGCCTCAATTTTAAAAATCAGATCACATAATATAACAAAATTTGTAATAGATTGTGTGCATTTTTATTTTTATTTTTAAACACTCCTGTTTTTTCTAGGCCTAAGTATGCCTGTTCTGCAAACATTGAGTGCTCATCAGGCTCCTGAAGGAGACTTGTTGGGTTGTTGTACAGGAACTACTGAGGACTGACTGCAGAGATGACGATCCTTAATCATTGCTGAGAAACCCCCAGGCAGCTCAGCAAACCCACCAGCTTTACTGGCCAGTGTCTACTTACCATGTTGGTATTTTCTTCCTGAATTCCAAGGAGTCTGCAGTCCTTCAGACACCTCATTTCTGAGACCACACCAAAGGGAGATTTCTTGGCTACCACTCTTGCCTCCACTCCCCTCCTCACCTCTAAGCCTCCTGACAGATAACTCCTTCAGCAGAAACACACTCAATACAATAAGCTTTTGTTCCAATCTCAAGAAGTGTTTTCTGTTCAGAGACTGCTACATTAAGCCCTCCAAACAGAAATCAAGCCTTGCCCACTCTGTCAAGACAAAAAAAAAAAAATCCACCTGAGCCTGGAAATTCTGTGTTTAGAGCCACTGAACTAAAATCCAATCACTGCTCGCAAGGAGCATTTTCAAAGCACCTGCACGACCCATAAACTCAGTATTACATTCAAAAATTATTTGAATTCGTAGGTGTTCTGGATACTTTCAATGGTAAGTAGACTTTGGAGACCCAAATCACATCTCAACTCAGACTTGTGGTGCTTTCACAAAATTTTGTTCATTAAATCCTTCTTTCCACCAGAGCAAGGCTGGACTCGGTCTGTACATCAGTAATGAGCTGCACCACACACTCCACAGTTAGATAAATGCCTCCACATCCAGGAAGCAAAGCTGTTTCTCTACATCTTAGATCCACTTCAACAACCCAAAAGCCCTCCTCAGATTGAGGCTGACCAAAGTCTGATAAAACGGAATTTCCTCATTAGAAAAGTGATAGAAAATCATCTGGCAGAAGTTTGGTCAAACATACATGTGCCAAAAAAACTGAGCTAACAAAATTTCTTCTACAGCAACAGCTATGATTTAAATTGGTCAAGTCCCTCTCCTGTCTCAGCCTCACTGGGCTGCACAGCCTTGGCCTGGAGAGCCACGACCACCTTGAAAAACACAAGAAATCCAATCATTGCCCAGATGACAAGTTACACTTGTACCTGGCCTTTCCTTCTATACAATGAAACAGTGCTAGTTACAAACTCTTTCTGATACACAGGATGCCCAAAGCAATAGTAGCAGCCACTGAATAAAAACAGGGAAAGCATTGGTTTGTTTAACAGCAGAGTGCCTCCCACTTCACATTACACCAACAGAGATGACACAAAACTGCATGAAAACTTTCAGAAAACTTCTCCAAAACAAAATCAAAACCAAGTAACCATAAGGAGCTCTTTGATGGGCAACTTAGGCAGCTGCCAGGAACCACCAATGAGCTGCTCACAGCAACAAGCAACCAGTTACTAACACCAATGCAGAAGAGTATGCAGGAGCAGGACCTGAGCTCAGGGCACCAGCAAATTCATGTTCAACATTATTGCACTGTGGGGAGGGGGATTTGAAGCACATAAATGCACTGAAAGCCTTGTTCAAGCCTTTTTTCCACCCCTGAAGTGCTCCCAGGGTCAGAGTTCAGATCCTCTGCCAGCACTCCAACTTGGACTTGCATCCCCAAGACTGTCATTTAATTCTGTGCAGGAAGAAAAACTTTGCATTTAAAAAAAAAAATCTACAAGTCACTACTTTAAAAATCTGTCAGGCAAGTGCTAGGAGGCAGCCTTTGAAATCTGGCAGCAGTACATCCTTTCAAATGTGTAAACTCATGTTTGTTTTAAGAAGTCACTGCAAGAATACTCAACACCAACAAGCAGATTGAAAGAAAACTTCCCTACCTTTTCTTCTTGTGACTTCAAACCTTCCGGATACCTATAAGGAAAAAGAGAATAGTTTGTGGTTTTTTGAAAAGTACAAGAATTGTTCAAAGGCAGCAAGAACAGAAATCCCTAAAAACATCAGTCACTGTCACAGAGAGGCATCCGTGAAGCTCTACGCAGTAGCTGAGTAATTGCAAATAAACATTTAGGTTTGTTCACAAATATTTTGGTAGATTAATACATCACCTGAAGCGATTCATCATTCTGCAGTAGGTTACATGACAGAGCACAACTTCTTACCCAAAATTGATTTCTTTTTCATTTGTTAGAAGGTTTTATTATTTTTATTAATATACTAAGAATTTGGGATCAAGGAGGAAGGAAGATTTAGAAATTTTCAGCAGGACCTGTCTCAAATACCTGAATAATCTCAAAATAACCAGGGTACTTGTGCTCACTTCAGTATTTGCATAGCTACATCTGCTCTGTTTCTTGCAAAGCATCCCTACTACCTCCCACTGTACACCTTTTAGAGACATACACTGCTTAAAGTCCCACTGGGTACTGCACTCCCAACAACTTACCTACCCATTCTAATGGTGATACTCCAAGGTAATAAATATTTAATTTCAAGTGGGAAAGCTATTTACAGATTAATTACAAATGCTCTCGATTTCTACCATTCAAATTATGCCTTGTATCCAGTATTGAATACAGTGGGGTCAGAGGCCATCCTTCCCACAACCTGCTCTGTGTCATATCAACCTGGCCACTGCTTGCTCATACAGGATCAGCACCCTGGGCACGATCCTATAGCTGGAAGATCCCAAAGATGTTCAGGTGGACGCCAGCACAGTTTCTATCAAAGGAGCTGGGGACTCATCAGATGGCAGCACTGGTGCCAGCAGCTGCTTCCCACCCAGCCCCATGCTGGCACCCAGGGCTGCCCTTGCTGCATTAGATGAACCTTCACTAACAGCTCACCTTCTGATAATCTGCTTCCCTTTCTTAAAAGCTGTTTTCCTATCCACATCCCCCACAGCACAGAGGGAACAGCAGCAAGCTTTCTGCCCTTGCACTAAGCACTCATTAAGCAGTCTTTTAGTCTTGTGGATATGCTTTATTTAACTTCATTTCACCCCCCTTAGTGTTCATCGCTGTCGGATGTTTATCTGAGAATGAAATAAAAAGGTGTTTTCTTTCCTCCTTTTGATAAGAAAATAACACACACAGCCTTCCCAGCCACCTGAGCCTTCTGACCCACCTGATGCTTATTATGGTTTTTATTTCAGCTTTATTTGCGCTTACAAATAACTCCCTGCAGACCATGCTTAGACAAAGGGAAGTAAAACAGTTTAGCATGTCATGAAATCCATCTACTTGCTGCCACAGGAGCACACAGTGAGAAGAAAAAGCTTTTCTAAACGACAGAAGGTAGAAATAAGCAGAAGCAAAGCAAGCTCATGGAGTAACAGCAGCACCTGCTCTGCTAATTCCTGCAGGCCTTGCATCCCCAAACCTGGAGGCACCAGACAGGATCACATCAACGTGAGCAGTTTCACAACCTGCACTACGTGGCTGCAGCTGTTTCCAGCCCTTTCTGTCCTGTCACCCCAGGCTTTCCAGCAGTGATATCGGGGCTCCCAGCCAGGCCTGGTCCTCACTGCAGGCTGAGGATGAAGCCCATCATGCTCCTGGGCCATGCCTGCTCCATCCAGAGACAAACTGCAGCTCATCCATCATCACCATTGGTACGCACACCACAGAGGGAGATTCTCTCCCCTGCAAGGGACGTACACCTTGAAAACAAAGTTCTCACCAAAAAGATCATCAGAAAGGCAGAAAGAGGCTCTTGGAACCCTCTGCGCTAACAGAGGGAGATAAACAATAAAGAAAGAGTATTTGCTTATAAAAACATTTATTCCTTATTCCCCATAGGATTCTACCTCAGTGATCTTGAGAAATATGTGAAATGGCAGTCAGGATTAGTACAGACTTCAAAGCATTTATCCTCTTTAGGCAGCAAAGCTCCGAGCTGTGTAGGCAGTTACACTCCAGGGACCTCTCAAAGCTTTTCAAAATATTAGTTTGAGAGGTGGGGCACAGGATGAAAAAATCCAGACACAGCCTGGTATCATTAAGCCCGTGTACATGTAATATATGTAAAAGGGAAGAGTACTTTTAAAGTTCCTCTGGAGTCCCTCGCTGCAACAAGCTGCTTGAATTCTCTGCAGTTCAAAGGCTCAGAAACAGTAGAACTAATTACAACTATTATATTGATCAAAAGAGAAAAAAGACAACCATGCACTACTAAAAATTCAAGTGTCAACTCTCTTGTATTAAATACCCTTTTGGTATTTCCATGAAAGAGCTGTAGAAAAAAAAAAAAAAAACCAAAGGTTGGTCTTCAAAGTTCCCCTTCTTTCACACTGCTTCCCTTTATAATAATAAGCCCTAATGAATGCAAACTACGAAAAAAAAAAAAAAAAAAACAACACAACCAAACCAGACAGTATACAGAGGAAAATCTTGATGGCAATTCAACAGGAGAACATGAGGTCATGCCGCAAAGCATCGCTTTGTTACCTGGGAGAATATCAGTGCCTGGGACACTCTCTTTCACAGAGAAAAGGCCAATAGTACTGAAAGCAGGAAGTATTGCAGAAATGTAGACAGGAGCTGAGAAAGGGAAAAAAAAAATACCCGACAGCTGTGATAGGACTGCAGTGGCCACAGAAAGGCATCAGCTCCAGGTACAAACAACTCAGTCCCCCCAAGTAAAGTGGAGCTACAGCAAGGACTTGTTTTTTCTTAGACTTCCTAAGCCTCATTATTTCATTTTTATAGCACAGAGAATAAGAAACGATGCTAATTTCCCTCCTCGAGGGTCTGCTGAACAAGGCGACCTTTCTATTAATGATCTTACACACTAAGACACACTGCTGCTACGGCTGGCCACAGGCACAGCACCGTGACGCACGCTGTGACGGCAGCAATCCTCACAAAAAGGAGCAGCCTCCCCTTCTTTGAAGTGTCAGATGCTGTTCTCCAGTGAGAATCACACAAGTTTTAATAACATTAGCAGAGAACCAAACCGTTTTGATAAAATGCCATTAAAGTTCTCAGATGCATTGCCTGAGGAACGCTGTTCTGCAGAAGACATAAAGCAGATGGTTATATATTAGACTTATTTCACAGCCACCTTTTGATGACTGCAAATTTCTTTAACTAAAAATCTAGTTTTACCAGAGCATAGATCATAAGTCTTCAGTGGAAAAAAGAAAAATCATCCCTTCTATAAAACATCACAAAAACTGTAGCATTCATGCCTCAGAGCAGTTTTATTTGTCGAGGCTCAATTTCGGCACCTATTTCCTTCCTTTTAAAGTCAGTTAATGGAATGCAGAACAAAAGGCCCCTCTGCTCTGTATGTGAAGTGCCTAATCATTGTTTATGTGGAAATCAATGTAGTATGTTTGCTGCAGCATTGCTTTTCACAAGACAACTACCTACTGGAAAACTGCTCTCTGAAAGACTAACCAAACCAGCATCTACAAATCAGAGCAGTTGCAGTGTCATTAAGTACAATTATTAATTCTATCTAGGTAGATGGAACAAGGAAAAAGAGCAACAGTTCACTGCCTTCTATTACAGCTTCACTCTCCCAGTAGCTGCCGTGTGGAAATGTTACACACGTCCATGCATGACACTCATGCAATTTAATGACTTTTTTGCACAGTCTTTTTCTGCTTTTGTAGAAGGGGAATGATGGTCTTTTTGAAGACAACATTGAGATGTCCTGCCAAGACATAATAGCCAGTTTGCATTACAGGCCCCTGATTAATGCTAAATCATGGGCACACAGGGTACTTCTGGAATAAGAATCACATTTCATTCAGGACAAACATGGGGAGGTAGAAAAGATTTGTACAGAGTTAACTGCAACTACACATAGGGAATGCATAATGTAACACACTGCTTGGTGGCTGAGGAGCCAGAAATGGATTTACTGGCAGTCATTAGTGATGGAAATAAGGCGGAGTGCAGAACAAGGCTCCCCATCCTGAAGCACTGCTGAAAAGCACGCAGAGTCCAGCACTCTCAGGAATTACATTAAGTAACAGCACTTCATACTCTGTTTCTAACTGATGTGCAATGTACGTTCATAATCCATAAACCTTCTGTAACTGTTCTTGTTTTTTGTCCCCGCACATCCACATGCACTCCCATGAAAATCCTGGCATTCTGATTTGAAGAGAAGAGTGAGAACACTGCAACATTAGTAATTAAACAGTCACAATTACACCTGAAATCAGGAAAGACAATCTCCTGTCTGCTTTCCTTCAACTGAAACCAGAATAACACTTCTCAACCCCCCCCACACACGACAAGCAGCAAAGCAATAGCCCAGAACAATATTTTAAGGAGTGAATCTTTACCATACAGCGCCTTTGTACTTCTGCTTCTTTCCTTCATTGCCTCCCTTTCACACCACTATTTAGATATTTGTAAGTGGTTGTGCATTTGCTATTCTCATCACTCAAGCATGTGTCTAACATGCACCAAGTTTGGCACCAAACAGATACAAACAGCCCTTTAAGGGGCAGCTTACATCAATTCAAAGGATCATTTTGCAGCGTTTTCAGTCTTGTCCTTTAATACTGATGTTTATTTCATCACTAGATGACGAAATATCCTAGTTAATAAGGTTATTTACTTAAAATAACTATAAGCAAATGCAAGGGGACTCTGCCAAAGCTGACTAATGCAGTGTGTGGAAGAGATGCAAAAGAATAGGTAACATTTCAGATCCATGGTCCTGCTATTGCTGGACTGTAGCAATCCTCTTACTAAGTACTTACGACAGGACTGCAGTGCTTGCACTTAGATAAAGCAAATTCAGCACGTGCAGCTGCACTCGTGCTGGGTCCATCACAAAGTTAGACATTACGTCTGCACACACCAAGTCTCCAGGGAAGTGCTCCCAGGATCAGCCTAACTGCTGTACAATTTCCAAATTTGCAGCCCTAACTCATTCAGCAAATTAATAAA